GACAGAGACCAGCTTTTTTTGGTTTTGGTTTTGATATACAGCTTAATCTTCCTTTCTCTCTAGAAAAAGCAAATGAGAAGCTACAGTAGCTCATGGCATCCTGCACTATTCTAAACACACAAAAAAACCCAAAACAAAAAAAAACACAAGACCGAACACACACCTAGAACATTTAACATAGAAAGCTGCTAGTCAGTAACTCAGACTCTGAGATTTGAACCTAAGCAAGTGCTGTTTTGCAACAGAACATTGGTAACATTTTAAATCCAGAAGAAAATATATAATTTGATTTCAAGAACATCAACAAAACCATAGCTGTATCAATACAGAAAACAATTTAATTTGTTTCAAAATAAATATTTGACATACAAAGCACATACAGTGAAAAAGGGTCGCAATAAATTACAAATGGAGATACTTGCTCATTCACTGAGAAAAGCCCTTGATATTTCCAATTTCACACCATCAAATTTATCATTCTTGCTGATTTAAGCACAGCACTAAACAAATATGGATCCCAGTGCTTTCTTTCACAGGTACTGGCATAGATAATTTACTGCAGTGATCCAATTTGAAAATCAGTAGGGACCAGTAAATCGCTGCATAAAAGAAAGAGCGAATGAGGTGCTTTTTCCTTAGTGTCAGCAGCCTGTGATTATTATGTTTATTAGATTTTCTTGAAAGGGCTTCACTTTTTCTCAAATATGCAGGAGAACTATATCTCCCCTCTGAGCCCTTACATTAGCATTTTGTGCCTCAGTCCTTGAATACAAGTAAAAGATGAATTTTTCAATTCATTTCAGAAGTTTGTACCATCTGGATGGCACAGAACTAAGCAATGAAACTCCCTTACCTGCACAATATCTGCTATTAGAGCTAGCTTCTGCAGAAAAGTTAATAAGTAATGCTGACATTTTATGAAAAAGATACTTTTGAATCCACATTTAAGATTAAATTACATTATCCAGACTGATAATGCATCTTTGAAATAAAGGATTGCTTAAGGTTCTATCCTTAAAAGGCTATTTAAAACAGCAAGGCTTGACTCTTCCTGTGGATTTTAAGAAACTTATAGCACATTAAAAGTTGCAATACAAAGATACACTAACCAATTTCAGTATAGTTTAACCACAAATACTTGCACTGCAGCAACTAAAAATTATAGACAATTACAACAGATCAGCATACCCTACTAACAGCTAGCATAAGTGCTCACGATCTTATTCTGTTGCGTTATTTTTCCTCACCAAAAAGATGAAGATACCAGGGGCCATACCTAGCTCTTGCACATGGGAATCAATTTTGCACATTGCTTTAGAATGTGCTGTTCTTCCTCAGTGGTCTTTGCTACCCTTAACCTGAGCACCATAAGGTACAGTACTTTTTGAAACTGTTTAAGCAGTAGTTAGTATCATTTTGGAAACAGGACCAAGACCACCTATGTGGTATAGAAACAAATCACAGTTCCCTCGGATGCTTGTCCAACTTGCGTTTTTCTATTTCCTGCTCTGCCAGAGCTCTTACATCACCTTAGGAGGGCGCTCTTTCCTTCCATGCCTCAAGTTCCTGTCTGTAAAATGGGCAAGAACTTTACTTCCTTAATTAACAAGGGATCTGTACAGCAAATGTTGCAATACAGGTGCCTAACGATAAAAAGGTCCAACACAGACTATACAAAGCAACCAGTTACATTATTTGTTTGGACAGTATTATCACATACACGGTTAGCAGCTCAAAAACTGTTTATATTTTAAAAAACCCTTAAAATGTGGAACTTAAAATATTAATAGATATTACTCCCCTTGAACATCCATCAAAGGGAGCAAAACATAAAAGTGACAGCACAAAAATGATAATAAAAGTATAAAATTAAAGACAATAAAGGATGGATGCATCAGTGAATTACTTTGTAAGAAATCCCACTGGCATTAGCTACTCCAGCAGACCCAGTGGGTCCTGATGCTTTATTTACAGGAAAAGAACTGACAATTTTATGCTGGACCATCACTTCTACAGCAATTCTACCCGCAGAATTTATGCAACAGCACTTTAGGAAAGCTAAGGCAATAAAAATAATGCCCAGTGTGATTTACACCAGTGGAAACAGTTACCATATTAGGTAGGTAACCTTTCAGTAGGACAAACTCCTCTGCTTCACAGTTGAGGTTGGCAGGCATTTTATAGTCAGTTGCAAAATTTCCCTACTTCCAGACTTCTGTTACAGCCTCTGCAACACAGCTAGCTGTTGACAGCACAGCAGCACAAACATACAGTTCTTTTCCCCAGAAAAATCTCAAGCTATCAAGACAACCAGGATTTCATGTATTTAATCATTAGTATAGAAAGCAGTCAAACAGTGGTAAGGAAGCAGGCACAAGGACAATGTTTTTGCCAGCATTGAGTAAATTTGGTGTTATCACTTAGGCAGCCTAAAGGCTACCACAAAGTTGATGCAGAGTGCGTGTCAGTTGCCTTACTTATTTTGCTTGGAAGTTATTCTTATCCCATTGTTCCATGTTTTCTTGGCACATCAGAGAGGTAAGTTTTAGCAGGCCACAACTAAAATCCAAGCCTCATCTGTCAAGCCAACTCCTTGCAAAGCCAAGAATATACTACTAGCCAAATCAAACCAAATCCCATTTATGAAAAATCTTCTTCATCCTGTTCCATTTTTTAAGACTTAATAGAAAGAGTTAACAAGAAATTCAGTATCCACATATAAGCTCTATTTCATGGCACTGTCTTCCAACTCTCTACTTACCAAAATCTCATTCACTTACTCCTTTTCATCTTCCTCATCCATTCACAGAGTTGGATCTCAAGACTTAGCATCCATCAGTTACAGTTGCAATACATCAGATCCAATTCAGACTCTTCTCTAATTTAATAACAGCATATAATTAAAGGAACAAAAATTTGCTCAGAAGTAACATTACTTTGCTTATACTACTTGCTAATTCTTATTACAAAAGCGTTTATTTGCCTTCCACTCCCACTATAGGGAACCAACTTAGATGACCAAATTAATTTTTAAATCACAGTGGTGCGAAGAGCTGAACAAAGTCTGATGTCACCACTCAAAAAATACACCACATAACATGAAAGAGGGTCTAGAACGGTGCTGAAGAATTGAAATGGTGATAAGGAGGTCTACATTTCTGCTCTGATTAGATACCACTGTTGCAGTGCTTATTCTTGGTTTGAATTTTGGAGGAGAGTCAAATTTTTGCACTTTAGAAGGCAAAAAATCCCTATAAAATAATCTAGAAACACACAAGACATTACGTCCCAATTCAGAAGCTGCAGTGGGTATATATGAACACGCACACATACACACAGGACACCATTCTGCTCAGCTTCCAGGTTCAAGCATCAGTATGTTCTGTTAGAGAGAAAATAAGCTTGAAGAGCCTAGCAAATCACATTTAACACTCCTTTTATTGCAGTAGAAATTTTAGGTTTTATAAAATCCTCAAATTACTGGATATACATATAGTGAAACTCGTTGCAAGTCTTTAGCAGCTGTAGAGCTTTACTGCATGCGGTTGCTTCTGCAGTGTGCAAGTGTTCTACAAGTAGCTAATCATGTTCAGAGAGGAAGACAAGTAGTCAAAGAATATCATATTCAATTACCAATTGGTTCATCAGTACCAAGAGGTTGAGCAAAAAATGAAATAAGTTTATAAAGACATGGCTCTGATCTAACAAACTAATACAACTGGAAAGTCTGAATGATATCCACATCACAATCAAGAAAACTCAATAGTTACAGGAAAATGCTTAGTTTCAAGACTGTTTTCAAAAGTGTTTCATGTAAGATTTCTCTAACCAAGGAAGAATAGTTAAGTACAGTGCTACAGAAGTTTACATAAAGCCAATGAAACCTATTGAACTGTATGCAATTAGAATACTAACATTAACTACAGAAGATGAGGCAAAGACTTTACCTTGAATTTATGGAAAGAAGTGTTCAGACAGATTATATTCTTTTGCCACGACCTACCTTTAAGCTGCTCAGTGAATGCATACTCAGCCCTCAATTTAATATTCAGTTCTGTAGTCATGACACTGGCTTCAGATCAGTCATCAGATGAATTTCTGCCAAAAAATTCTACACCCACGTTTCAGAAGCTGCCTGAACAGGTTCAATCCCTTATGCAAATTTCCCATTACAATGAGAGTCTCAGAAACTGGAAAAACAATTTATATGGAGCTAGCTGCAGATTAGCTTTCTAAAAAGCTGACATGCTTGAATTACTGCAGTCTCACATTTGTGTAGACACAAGAACAAATTTGCAATGATTCTGCAAAAGTTACTTCATTTACATTGATTAGTTCACTTAAGAGCTGGTTAAAAGTTTCAGCATTGCATCTTTGTCTGAAAAGCCTACAGGTCAGCAATTTGGCTTGGGAAAACATCCTGTTATGACAAGATAACTGCACAGAGTTTTCTGTGATCAGCCTTGAGATTTCTTCCAATAATATAATGTAAGACAAGGTAGAAACTTGGAAGAGTTCTTTTTAAGTGATATTAATGAAAATAACCTCTCCTTCAGAAAAGGTGTTAACTATGTCAGCTTGATAGATTTTAATCCCTTTTGTTAAATTCAAAGTGGGCCATAATTTTACATTGAGTATAGTAATTTCAACAAAATGGTTCTACAGATACATTTAGTAAGCAGAAGAATACTGTCCAAAGTGTATTGCATAGGTATGCGTACCAAGTGCTATCCACTGGAGACATCCTACAGTAGCTATAGTTTCAAACACCATAAATCTACTGAGCTCAGACTTAAAGTTTTAATCAACATCAACAAAACTTTGATTCCTAAAAAAACAATTCTGTATGACTGGGCATGATTTGGATAGGATACAGCTACTTTTTTTAGCCAATTAGCAACACAGCACAGTAATTTTACGTTTCCATGACTTGCTTTTGATAGGCTAAATTTCATAGTATCACCAAGAAAAGCATAAACACACTTTTATACAGCCTGGAGTGAGATCAGTGTAAAACCAGGAATTTATTATCATCAGCAGAAGTGCCAGCTGCTCATAATGTTCACAAAACACGAGTGCCTGAATTTGGCTATGCAACTGTTGGTGCCAATCTGCTTATAAAGGAAATGCTGCTGAGGCATAGTCTTCTTACAAAAACAGGGCATGCGGGCTTCATTATTAAGTGTTCAACAACAATCCTCAGCTCAGTGAAGAGTGTCCTGAAAAATCAGATTTAAAGAGAGTTTTAAAATCCTGCAACATCCTACTTCCTACAGAAGTATCAACTATCTTTTTTTTATTCACATCTTCTCTCAACATCCCACACACGCTCTAGTTAGAAAGTTCTTTAAATCAACTCAGTGCTGCAGTATCTTGCAAGAGCTTCAGAATTCTTGTCCTTTTAAACATTAACATTTTAATTGACTTTAGTCCAGCAACTTCCAGCTGAAGACAAGGACAGCAGAAAAATTACACCTTCAAGCCAAAAAAAACCCAACACACTATAAAAAAAGAGTAATGCTTTATCAGAAGTAGTGTAAGGAGTTGGGAGGTGATTGTGTGTTTGTGCTGCTTCTTGCCAGAATGCAAGAACCCTGCACTCTAGAAGCAACTATTAAACGAGACACATAAGAGATAAAACCCACAACACCAGTTTTCATTAAAACTACATAAATGCCAGCAGAACATCTTGGATAAACTAGTTCTATTGAAAGTTAGTGCACCTTCACAGGGGGGTGGGTGGGTGCGTGCGGGTGTGTGGGCAGGCGCGCGGGCGTGCAGGAAACAAGTTTACGATTCTCAGACCATGCCACTTCCTTGGTATTTTAGCAAACCACTTGATGATAAAGTAGTGATCTGACTGGAAAGTATGTTCACAAAATCTTAACTCTATGCAACGATTGTCATAAGAAAAGTTCTGAGAAAGCACTGACCTGAGCAAGTCCTCACAGAAGTGTTTATGGTTTCAAAGTTTAAAGCAATAGTGTTGACTTAACCAACTTTCAACCAAAATCAATAAGGCTCTATTTCAATTATAATTAACCTGACTTATGAATTTAACTAAAAGAGGTAATAAGCATGTTTAAAATAATCCACAGATTTTTTTTTTGTCAACACTGCACAAGTTCATAAGTGCCTATTCATGTATACATTTAGCCTCAGATAGGCTTGGAATCTATAACTAAGGATATCTTTCTGGTAAGTGGTTGCAGAACAATTAAAAGACCTTCTTCTCCCAAAATGTAGCTTTAATTACATGAGCATGGTCTGAAAGCTCCCACTCAAGGATGGTGGCACATTTCAGAAAAGTTCAGTTACATTAAATAAATGTAACCCTGAACCAGCTGGTTTTTTTATCATCCAGGTGTATTCTACATTCTATAATTACCATTTCCATATTTAGTATTATGAGTTATGCATGCATTTTAGAACTAAAAATTTCTGAACACCTAAACACTATGCAGATAAACATTAACTTCTGAAATCAATTTTGTGCTTACCGACAGTATGGATTTCGCCGAGAGGAATAGCGTAATGTAAGAAACCTATAGTAAATGAATGGCTGGAGCAGACTTCCTTGCCCACTGAAAGAGAAGAGAGAAGTAGAGCTTAATACTGACAGGAAAAAAAAAAATCAGGACTTTTCCCAATAAAAGAAGGCAAACTACTTAGGCTGAAAAAAAAGCTAGATTGGGGTCACATTGGTTCAGATTATATAGATCTGACCAAAAAAAGTACATAACCACTTACAAAAGCAGAAACTTACATTACAGAATAAAACTGCTCAATCAAGCAGTCTAAAGAAGTGCTGTTCTTGTGTTGATTTTACATTTACTAAGTTTTTTTCTATGCCTCATTTCTGGTGGTGGGCAAATAATCACAGAAGTGATGGTAGACACCTGTTCAATATTAAGAACAAGCTTGCTGATCAAAAATTGGCTGACATAAATAGTCCCATTTTCAGCTCTAATCATAGCACTTTGAATAGCTAGATGATATTTCTAGTATCTTTTGCAAAACTTCTCAAAACACACTGGAGACTATTATAGATATATTGAGATATTAATGCCAAGCTGATATCCAACTATCCCAGTTATACCAAAATCAAGTTTTATTACATTACAAAGCTGCTGTTTCACATGACGGTGCTGTAAAATAGTGAAAGGGTAGCATACAAACTATACATAGCAAAGCACAGAAATACAAGTTTAATCTTAATGACTGAAGCTTCTTTGTATAACACAATGTTAAAAAGCTCTGTTTAAAGTTGAACACGACAGTTCCAGTAACTAAAGCTCCTTAAAGTATGAGCAATATCTTTACCCAGAATAAAAAATATAAAGTGAAAAGAAAGCTACAGGAGGGGGGAAAGAGGAAATCTTGCACTTCTACAGTGTTTACAAGCAATTTAATATGCTAAAACACTTTAAAGAACAAATGCCCACAATAACTGAATTTAACCATTATATGATTTTAAAATTTATTATATGATCTTCAGTATCTACTTCAGTATCTACTAGATGACACACCAAGTAGCAAGAATTCACATACTAAATTATCCACAGAGAGAGAGAAAAAAAGTTATTCTAAAGGGAAGTTAAAGCACTTCAAAGTTTCAGATACTGGATACAGAGCGTATCTGTGAGTTAGTAAGTGGTCTTAAATGAAATGGAATCCTTCAGGCCTGAAGCACTGAAGTACTCAGCTGACATATCAAAAGATAAATTATGCATTCTATCAACTTCCAAGAAAATAAAGCCTCCCTTCTACTGACTTTGAGACGACTCAGGACAAATGCTCTCACTGTACTGACTTGTATCGAACAAAGGGTGTTATTCCCCCTCCAAATACTAGAAGGCAATGACCCAAGCTTCAGGGGCTGGCAGGTCATTATGCCTATATGACTTCAGTACGATTCCAACATGCATATGCTCAAGATCCATTAAATGAATTCAACAGGTGGCACAGCAGGCAAAACCGAATGGAATAAAAAAAAAAAGTTAAAAAGAGACAAGGGTCACTGGTCAGAAGTAACACAGGAGAGAACATAACCTACTCCTGCTTGCACACTTCTAGCACAATGAAATTTCATGTCACTTAAATTTCTGGAATCTAATGGTCAAAAATAACAGTTCATTTTCACTGAAGCTAAAGAACTTAATATTCTGTTACACTGACCAAAATTAAACTTACTGAACAATGTAGGAGAATGCAAGACACAGGCCTGAAAAACTTTGATTTGGCCCAACAATGTCACTCATACTATGAAAAGGAATGGTTTTTTGGTGCTCAGTTATATCAGAGTGAATGCTTTTTGACTTCATGATGCACCAACTTGAGAAGTCTATGAATCAAATAAGTTTAACTCTAAGTTCAAGCCTTGGTCAGCCAGAATCATACAAATGGAGATCTGTGACTCACAGAGTCACTCAACTGCAAAAAGTAATCTTGCATAGAAAGTTTCTAATTCTGAAAAGATTTATGTTAATTCTTACCTGAAGAGCATAAAGACTGTAGCTGGCATCAGGAAAATTTCATTGCAAGCAATGAATTTTAGAATATTCTGTTGATTAGCACTCAGTTTCTCTAAAAGATTTCTCAGAAAGGGCAGGCTATTTGAACTTCGTGCCTTTAAAGAAGAAAAAGATTGCCAGAAAACATACAAGTCACACCCACCCTCTCTAGCACAAAAACCCCAGAAAGCTAACAATTATAATCTACAATTCATTTCAGCATTTTAAGAGTAGATCCTTTAAAGCTATTGAGAGTAGTATATCAAAGAAAAATACCAGAAGCTTGGAACTCCATCATTACACAGAGTTCAACTAAAAACATGAGGTGTAATTCCCTCACCCACCCCTTTTAGGTTCAACTGCACAGAGATGGCCACAACCTTTATTCTGTCCACTAGGAGGAAGTACCTATGGTGGCAAGATAGCCCAGTTAGGTACATCAAAGGCTGGAGTTACATTAAGCTGCGCAAGGCAGTTCATCAAGCAGCAGGTCCAACTAGCACGTATTTTGCTTCCTAGCTTCACCCTGCAGTTTGTTATTTTACTACTGAAATATAACACTAAATTTCACAGGCTATGGTTTAGCTTGAAAAGACACCTTAAGTTTCAACTTAACTGTTACACAGCATTTGCTTCCTTCAAAGAACAGCATCCAAGTAAAAATAATTAGTGTCCACTCCAACATAACGCCTAGTAACAGACAGGGGAAAAAAAAACCTCACCCAACAAAAAAAAAAAAAAAAAAAAAAAACAAACAACACACCACACTTCTCACACTCTCTGTGCTGAGATTCCATGCTACAATTTCACTCTAGCTCTAGCGTAGCTAAAGGAAGCCAGAGCTGCAACTCAAACCTAGTCACAAACCCCAAGAATACCAACAGTATTAATCGTATCGTACACCATATCATACTTACATCAAGAACCTTCTTTGTATATGTGGCAGCATGAAGCAAAGAGAACAGCAGAACTGGAAAAATACTCACTGAAGCAAGTGATAAGGAAAATTATAGGCTGCAGAAGTGCTTCATTTCTCCGTGATGTTATACTAACACACAAGTTATAGCTTGATGGCTCTTTCCAAGAGGTTGGCTGGAATGACCTATACTGGCTTAAGACATGTATATGTCTAACAACTATATTTATAGCCCTTCCCTTTGCTTCTTACACCTTCTCTACACTATGCATTTTTATTAACTTCAAAATGTGTATGCAGGTAGGTAAAAGTCCAACATACACCATGGCACACCAGTGCATTTCTACTGAAATGCATTCTTTCTGCCTGAAAGACACGTGAGTTACTTCTTAAAATCTATCATATACATGTAGCCGTACTATTTTTTATTAAGAGATGCTACAAAATGCATTTCTCTACCAAAGAACATGCAGTTGCCAGCCACTCAGATTTTAGAGAGCAAGAACATAGACATTCCTCTGCCAGAGACATTAAGCGGACACACAAAGTGGCACAAAGAAAAGTCAGTTCTTACATGTCACCTTTGCAAGCTACAGGAGTGGTTTTTTTTTGTGGACTTCATCTGTTTATATCTGACAAAGCTACTACTGAATAATTGTCTCTCTACATGATATATGTCCTGCATACAGTGAGGAGTCATATATAAATGCTGTACTTGTAATAAATGGAAGTTACCAGCTTCTGAAAGTATCACATGAGGCTGGTCATAAAAACCACTGAACTTCAGTCTCAGGAAATGAAAATGTAAGTAGCCAGAGACTGCAGTGCACTAGTTATAGAGGTGATTAACCTGAATATGGATCAATCAACATAAGCCTCTCCTATTTCACATCAAGAATGTGCTATGAATAGTAAATGTATTCTAGTTTAAACTAGTTTTTCAAATCATGGCACAGGTGATGAAAAGAATCAAGTTTAAAAACACTACCAGGATGATACAAGTAAAGGATACTTGTAACAGGGTAGGAATTCACAAAGATAAGAGAGTACAACAGGTAGTGGCAGCTGTCCTCCAGCAAAGCCTGGGCCAGAAACGCCCTGCTAAGCTGAAAGTGCGGTAGCCTTTGGTGTAGTCGGAGGGCACTAGTAAGAGCATTTGCCAGCAAGGCACGCTGATAAAAGCTTGCTGCTTCATGCAACCTGCAAATCATCAGAGGAGATGTTACCATATGAACCAAACCCCTGCTCAGAAGTCTTCCACCCTTGAGAATTGCATCACGATTGCACAACACCTGAAGTATTTCTATTATCGTACATAAGCTCTACTACCAAAATACAACTTAAAAACTGGTAACACTTATTCATTGCAGGTGCCAAAGTTAAAATGACTCAACACATTACTCTATAACTACATATAAAACCGTGCATTTGCCACTACTTTACAGTTGTTCTACACATTTTCCAAACACACCTAGAAGTGCTTTAAAACAACTTAAAAATCTGTAACTGTTACAATACAAAGCATTCAAGTACGTTGAATAATAGAAATTTACCCTTATATGAAAAACAACTCTATGAAAAGGTAGCATTGTTACTTTATAAATCTTTAATGCTATCTTACAATACATACCCTAGAAGAGGCAGGACAAATAAAGCTGAGCAGTAAACTGTGAACAAGCGGGAAATCCACATTGCTGTATCCAACTTGTTCGCCATCAGAAATTGCTACATTAGAAGAAGAAAAAAACCCAACCCCCCACAGAAGTTGGTATCTTTAATATTTGCATGCAACGAACATTATTCCCTTCTATATTAAATTGCAAGTCTTTCTCCAATCTTGAATAGAAGCAGCCTGAAGCAAAGACCATCTCTGTGTTCTGTGATGCTTGACTCGTATGATGTTACTAACCAGATCACAAATAAGATAAGCTTCCTCAGAACCAAAAGGCTCCTTTGTACATTACAACCAAATATAGTGGTAAGATCTTCTGTAGAGGCAGTTTTTCAATGCAAACCAACCTCACTAAACAGCCAGCTTCAAAAATGTTATGCAAGGTCTTTAGACCTGACTGACTTTTACATCTATTGCTTCAAGGTTCCTTTTAGAATACACTGCACACACCTGGGGCTAAATCCCCACAATTCTTACTGAGGGGAAAAAAGAATGGGCCAGGTAAAGTTAGCATAACTACTTCATAAGAATAGTGGCATCGTTTTGGCACACATATTCTTGGCCTCAAAAAAGCAGAAAGCTTTTCACAGTAATCTAGCACCTCTCCTCTTGTCCAGCTCTTCTTAACCACAGCCCTCTTCACTCCAGATCCCACACCAGAAAGGTTTCAATGGAACACAGGATGCTTTTGGCTGTTAGCTGCCTAAGAGTCAAAACAGCTTTGGATGGATGCTCTTTTCCTCTATGTTCCCAGACCCTTTTTAAGAAAATGGCAAAAAATTAGCCTAACCTGCAAGCATCTTCATATCACTACCTACTGTCTTACTTGCACAATATAATTAGAGACATATCGTTGCTGCCACACGGAAATAGTTCTGAGTGGGGCATTTTCAAGAATGGCGGCGCAGCAACAGCACGTTTTCAATCGGAAAGGGAAGGAGCCGCTTCCCCCTGCCCGCGCCCGCAGCCGGCCGTGCTGCGGTCCCAGCAGGGCCCTCCCAGCAGCGCAC